CAACGAGGCAAAGGACAGGATGACGTCCTTGAAGAGCGCGTGGTCCAGCGAGTAAAGGATCAAGAGCGTCGGCAGGTCTCGAGGCCGCTCCAGCCGGTGGCCGGGCGCGTGGGGAGGAGACGCGTGCTCTCGCCGTCGGTCGCTTGCGCTCGGCCTGCCTCGGTGCACCGTCCACGCTTTGCCAGCTGCGGGCACACGCAGGAGGGGTTTTGTTTTTCCCTCCATACCGGTCAAACGACAACGTGCGTACGCAGGCACGTACGGCACGTCACTTTACAAACGCGTGTCCCGTCAGGGATGCCTAATTGCTGCCCCCTTGCAAGATATATAATCAGCGCCGAGGCTATGAAGAAACTGGCGGCGGGCTGAATGGGATACGGAAATTCGGAACTGTTTAATAACGTGGCGTCGCGATATCACATCTCCCGTTGATGGCAACGGAACAATAATTAAGATCTGTAGATGACGGGAAAACCCATCAGGAAAGCTTCTGGGTCTCCGTGGTGTAGAAGTGGGTTCTCTATACACATGAGGCTCCCACAGGCAGATTTTACAGCAGTGAGCAATCGATTACTCTGTTGAGCCCCTGTAAGGACGATACCAGCCTCCCCTGCCTCTCAGTTTGTCACATTTTTCATTAATTAACAATGTGCGACTCAAGGCAAGATAACCACTATGCAGTTTTTCAGGAACTGGTGGTTGTGCATAACGCTGTTGAGGCTATTGCACAATATGGTCCAGATGTCTTGTGACCCCCATTTAATTCTCTTCAACGGAATATATTTTGACTTAAAGCTTTCGTGACTGCAGGAATTCATATTCGTTGGGTCTTTCGGTAAAGCCACGTGGCTTTACCGAAAGACCCAACGAATATTAATATATTTTTTATTAAGGTTAATTAAAAACCTAAAAATGAATATACAAAGGAAAAACATGTTGGGGGTCACAAGACATCTGGACCACCCTGTACTGTTGTCCCATGACTCTCTGCTGGCACCAAGTCGACTGTGCCTGTTGTCGCCCCCCCCAGTATCGACCTTCGTGAATCAGGCCCCGTGTGCGTTTGCAGCCCGGCACGGACCAGGGTTGTATAAACAATCGGTTCTGAAAGTCAGGAACCGACGTTGCAGCTGCCGAGCCAAGGAGATGGAATTGAACCTGCAGGTCCAGAGGTTGGAGCTCCGGCGAGCTAACCATTGCACCACTGTAACCGGCTCCTTTTGTTTCAGCTGAACACACGTGAATGTGTTGGTTGCTCTGTGTGGCACACCGGAAATCGGTTTTTACTAATAAAAAAAACCGCGATTTTAACAACCATAGTTTTATGCAAACTATTCCGTTCTGTACGTGTGACAGTGGGAAAATAGTATGGTGAATTCAATTTCGGGAAACGCAAAGCAAGATAAACAAAAATCCAATTACCGATAAGGGTGCAATGTGTGAAAGTATTACCAGTTTGGATATGCCATACACAAAAATGAAAAATGTAATGATAAGAGTCATTTCTTAAAATCTGGAATGATTAAAAAGTAAACAAACGTGGTTAAATTGTAAGTTCCAATCGGGAAATATTAATTATTAACATTTGTAATATATCTGCACACGACAATGCTATTTACAACAATAATCTAAACACATCAACTGTGCTGTCTGTTAGCGAGTTATGCTTATTGGACTACGTTTTCTCCATGCTACAAATTAGAACTATAATCGTATGCCAATTTAATAGCATGGCAACTCAACTCAGACGTGTAATTACAGTAAATACTATTTTATTGTAACATCAAGGTAAACCGAGGATGGCTTATACTATTTTAATTTAAACTTAATTTAAAATTGTATTGCCATTACAAGAGACCTCAAATTGTGCTAAATATAACAGAGAATAAATAAACACTGTTTTTTTGTGTGGGAAAATGTGGCAGTTAGAGGGAGCGCTTGTATAGACTGTGCTTCTGTGTGCAGAATTGGACATCACTGAAAAAGAGTTTCATAAGTCATCGGATTTCTAAAGGATAAATACTGATTCTGAGGATTGTGGCTTAGTAGGGCGGTGGTGCTATTATTTGTGAACATGGTAATTCACGATGGCAATCTTGAACTTTGACAAAGGGCTGCTTTGTCAAATAGTTCAATATATTAGGTGAGCATTACCAGTTGAATAACAGTAAACCACAGTCCTATTTCAAGAAAACCCTTATCTAATAACTGCTGCTTGGCAATTGCCTGAATTGCCACAAAAATATTCAGTGACAACGTCACGTGACTCTGACATGGCCTTGTTTAATACAATCGCACCTTCGATTAGCACGGTTGACTACGTACGGTGCGTAAGAAGTTCAACTTACATACAAATTGAAATCATGGGCCAAAACATACAAAACTCACTTAAAATGAATTGGCTAAATTTTCCAGTGCAGACCGTGATTGAAAGATGTTTCTTAAAACCAAAGTGAGGCTTTTCCTGGATAAGTGGCATGATCACTGCACATATACTTGCGTTTTTATGTGTAACTTAGCAAGGGACAAACACACATCCTCCTCTTAGCGTTTGTCCAAAATTGTAAAGTTTCACCAAATGTCGAGCATTACACAGTACGGCCAATAAATATTACACTGTGCCAAATTGCACTTGCAAAATACAACATTGTACTATGCAAATAATAAAGTGATGACTTTACAACTGTACATTCTGGTGTTTTACTATCTTGTTTAATATACGACGTTATTCTGTAACTGCTAATTGCTGCAATATCAGCTTAAAATGAATTGCCCTCCCCATACACACTACTTTTGGCTCCCCATCGAACAAAAACAGTCACCGCATTGCGCGCTTTCAGATGCACTTGTGCGGCCGTCTGGAATGCTCTCCCTTCTGCTATTAGGAAGCCCACTGCAGCTATGCACATTTAAATCATCTTTATTGTAAACTAATTTCTTTGAAACGGACGTTTGTGTTTGGTTGGTTGTCCTTCCCACCGCGCCTCCGGTTAACGCAGTTGGCTACGTACGGTGCGAAATAAGTTCAACATACACACATACGTACAAACTTCCATAGCACCGGAAACCATTTTAGTAAATATATTTTTTTGCCCTGCGCTCAACGTTGCCGCTGTTTGACCGGGCTCGGTGGCTGCCGATAGCCCCCCGAGTGGGGCCAAGCAGCACCGCCTGCGTGGAGGAGCCCGTGAAGGCCATGTGAACCACCCGCACGGGAGGCGCCACGGTGGCGAGATGTTAACTACACGAGGTCGTGGGTTCGATTACGACCCTGATGCCTGCCGCTGTATATTTGGAGTTTGGATGTCTGTCTCTCTCTCTCTCGCCGTGGTCGCGTGGATTTTTCTCCGGGTCCTCCGGTTTTCCCCTCCACATTTAGAATCGACGTCACGGCGTTTTAGAGCATTTGGCTGCTGCTATAAATGTCCATGTGATAAGCCACTTCGTTGAGCTATCACTTGTGGCCAGATCGCTTCTGAAAAAAGCTGTATAGCTCAGTGGTAAAATTATAAAATATAAATCAAGTTTATTTAGGCCCGTCCCACTGGGGTTCCACAATTCTTCTCCGAGCATTTATTTGTGGCCTCGCACCCCTTGCGGCAAGCTGCACCTCTCTCCCCCCGGGGATTGGGATCCTCCGCTTGGAAAATGCCGTTTCGTATTTGCGCGAGTCTGAGCACATCACGGGCCCCATCTAGGGATTGAGAATGAGCCTATGATATGGGCGGCATTCTATCCCTGGAAAGGCCCAGCCGAATTCGATTACGGGCACCGCTTTACATTCAGGGGGTGCGGTGAAACACCGAAACGGTTCAATGCTCAACGAAGGGCTCACACCATGCTACGTTGGTCACGGGCAGGGGCTGGCAACCGACATAAGAAGAAGAGCCATTTTCTTTTCGAATTTGGTCCCAAAAAAAACCCGCAATGCATGCGAATAGGAGACGGTGGTCCTTGATGAATGACGTCACGAAGCATTCCTTCGTGACGTCAGTAGCCGCAGGTTACTGACCCCCCCCCCCCTCCCTGGTCACGGGTTTTTTGTGTTACTATCTGACCATACTTCATCATTGTGGTCACTGGGGCGAGGGGAGAGGGCCAGATTAGGTCGCCGATGCGCAAACCAATGCGCCACCACACCTTCCTACTAATTATGCTGTTCCTTTTTTTTTTAAAAATCTGCATTTTAATTGTAATGGCTCACTCATCGGCTGGTGCCAACACCTACTGCTTCTGTCTAACTGGCACACAGAGGCCGAGATAGCGTCACCCCCGAGGTAAAGGGTCTATCTCGTAAAAAAGTAAAGTTTTGTAGTTCACTGCCTGTAAGATAAAACTCAACATGTCAACTCTAAAGGATTAAAAATTGTCTCATTTTAAAAATGTTGAAACAAAGTTTACTATGCCTAATTTAAATTCGCACCTCAACTTATTGCCTCGTGAATTATATAACTTATCACAATTTAGAAAAATTGAATCTATCAGACTTCTGTACGGTAATGCAATAAAACTCCTTTTATTTGCAGCCGCTTTCGAAAAATGTGTTACTTATAATACTCGATGTAAGATATTATTGTACCCCAGTATAAAACATATTCTGCTACAATTGTAGAGCAGTATGACGACGTGACGTCATGAGCGCTGTGAGGAGCGATGACGTCATGTCACGGGATATACTTAAGGGGAGACACCGTGACTGAAAGGGGGGGTCGTTGTGGGAGCGTCTGAAAGGAGGTCTCGTGACCGGACCGTGTTGGCTGACCCCCCGTGCGGGTTCTACGAGTAGGAGAGCCGACGAGATACAGCCAGGGGTAGGGCTCTGAGAAGTTTGTGAGAGCCGGCTAAGGTTAATTAGTAGGAAGGTGTGGTGGCGCAGTGATTTGCGCATCGGCGACTTAATCCGGCCCCCCCCCCGCCCCCCTCGCCCCAGTGACCACAATGATGAAGTATGGTCAGATGGTAAAAAAAAAACCCGTGACCAGGGGGGGGGGGGTCAGTAACCTGCGGCTACTGACGTCACGAAGGAATGCTTCGTGACGTCATTCATCAAAGACCACCGTCTCCTATTCGCATGCATTGCGGGTTTTTTTTTTGGGACCAAATTCGAAAAGAAAATGGCTCTTCTTCTTATGTCGGTTGCCAGCCCCTGCCCGTGACCAACGTAGCATGGCGTGAGCCCTTCGTTGAGCATTGGACCGTTTCGGTGTTTCACCGCACCCCCTGAATGCAAAGCGGTGCTGCTCTTCTCGATCGGGCGGTGTTGCCTGAACCCCCGTCCCGACTCGAGCGTCAGAGCCCAAGGTGATAGCCGAGGCTAGGGACAGACAGAGCCCGAGGTCCGAGGGAAGGACCGAGTGTAGGGACACCCATCTCTGGTCTAAACCGTTATCCCGTGTGTTGATAAACCGGCGCAATAACTTAATAAGAGTTCCGTCTTCGAGTCGTTCTGCACTACACAACACAATTATGGCATTAACGTTCTGTTATTACGTTAGAATAGGGCATCTTGATTACATTTCTCAGGTTTTTCGTTGTTCTAAAAACAGATCAAGGATTGTTTATCAAGTGCTCGCCGTTTTTTTCTGATTATGATTGTATACATTTCAAAAGGGTAAACAGAATTTGTGGAACTCTACAAAGACACATTTACGAACATTCACAAATGCATATATGGACGCGAACTTCGGTATCACCATTAAGCCTGGCATAGTGGCACACGATGCCTGTAAACCAGGGCTTTACAAGGAAGGATTGATGGATCACGTACAGTTTGTTAAGCTCTTAAACCCCAAATAGGTTGTGACAAAGCGTGGAGATGGCAGTACAGAAATTGGGTTAGCAAACTTTCCTGAGTGCTATCCCCTCGCTCGAGCAGACTTTCTCTGGGTCGTTATAAGGACACTCGCCAAACATCCCCGAACGCAGAATTCTCCTGGAAAAGTCTTGGAACTCAATGAAGATTCTTGGGGATAAAAAATATATGAGGATCCGGTTTAATCAGAGACGGTCGCTTGGATTCTCACCCCTCTGACCTCTCAGCCACCCATCTGTACAATGACTCAACGCTTATCGCTTAGTGGCTGTGCATAGGTTCCAGGCCATTCATAGGCTGCAGTCATTAAACCTTTGAGCTGTCACGATTATTTGCAGCCAACACTGGAAGCTGTCAATGCTCTACCACGTGGGTTACTTTTACAGAATCTAGGCAACACAATGGAACGTGCTTTCAATTCTGCACCTTTGTGTCCCGATTGCCAACGAGCCATTGCGGCCGTGCTCGCTTTCCCGCGGGTAATGAGCAGGTGTGAGACCGCGCGGGGTGACGTTGGGGTGCGCCTCTGCGTCCGCGTAACTCGCCTCTCGCCTGCAGACGCACGGTGCGCAACGCTGCCACCATCAGCGTGACCACGAACAGCAGTGCGAGCGCGCCTCCCACCGAGGCGTAGACCAGCGGTGGCCGAGGCCCCCCTACGGCATCTGCAACGAAACAGTGGCGGGAGCTGACGACGCACTCTGTGAACGCTGCAAATCTCTACTGCCCCAAGTTCGGCGCCGATAGCCCCCCCCCCCCCCCCGGCACAGAGACAGCGGTGTTGCAGAGGAAGTGACACGCCAGTCAGTCAATCTTTTTTAACGCTTAAAGTAGTTCCTTCCGATGAAATGAAACAACAGTGTGGACAATGTGAACACAATAGCAACACAGTTTTCGTGGGGGCAAATAATAATAATGATGTAATGTAAAATCGAAAACATTTAACCTATACATATTGCCGAGGGAATTGTACTGAAATGAAACCAACAGGCTTGCTCTCATTATACAAGTTAGATGAGTAATGTTAATATGTTTGATAGCTTTCTGCTAGTTTCACAAAATACAAAGGTCACACTGCTGCACATAGGGTATTGCATCATCATTTACATGCATTAAAACACGTGTAAAATAAAAACTTGCTTACACGTGCGATTCAAGTTGCGATGTCTCTGTATTGGCTCGAACATTCTACTCGCACCCATCATATGAGCTGCAAATGACGCTCGCTTTTACAGTAATGAATTCAGTCTGCAGTCATAAAGAACCAAAATAGGGAACTTCGTATCGTACATATTAAATATGTAGCTTCTTCTGATATTTTCTTGGTGGGTTTGCGGGTACGACACAACGCCGTGCAATTAGAATATATATAGCATCTAAATATGCAATTGAGTTAAGTACCTGGGCAGATGCGAGACAGAGAAATTGTGGTGCCTCTGAATAATGCACAAGTCGTATACGGGGATGTATGTACAGAGTATTTACAGTAAAAGCTTGGATTGCGAGTAACTTGGTCTGCGAGTGTTTTGCAAGACGAGCAATTTTTTTAAAATAATTATTAATTTGATAAACGAGCGAGGTCTTGCAATACGAGTAGTGCACATATACGCTTTGTACTGCCGAGCATCACCTGATCACAACTGATATACGAGTGCTTTGATATACGAGTGCTTTGGGTTACAAACACGTTTCCAGAACGAATTATGCTCGCAATCCAAGGTTTTACTGTAGTTGTCATTCCTTTAAAGCCTCTATGGTAAAGTAAGATTCAATTTTTGATTTTACATTTCACTCAACCCCAAATCAGTTTTGATTGATGTGTACAATGTGTTTTTATGCAAAGCTTTCAGGTCTGTGCTCCAAACCTCGTTTGAAACAATAAATACAAACAAGAATTGACAATTTCATTTTACAAAGGTGGGGCACGGAAAACGGAGTGGTGATGCCCAGTCGGAACAACGTCGCTGGGTACATTGCCATTTTATTTGGACCTTTTAAGAAGTATCTGAAATCAACAAGCTGCGAATTGGGGGCATAGTTAAGTCCAATTTTCCCCAATGTATGTGTAGTGACATCGTTGGATGTGACATCGTTGGATGTCACTGTGTATGTCACTGTGTGATGCCGGTCCGGGAGAGGCACAGCGCACGATGTATTGACACCACTGAAGGTGGATGCAGAACCGGGCCTAGCGGGGCTCAGGGTGCACTGACTGGCAGGAATGGATGGCACCACGCGCTGCGTGCAGTGCCAGCCCCTACAGGATAGGGTACGAGAGTGCCGGCCTCAGAACGGGGTTTCAAAGGGGCCATGGCACTCTGGTTGACCCTGGAGGATACGTGACCGGAGGTGTCTACCCCGGGACCCCCAAAGGGGGGCTAGAGTGATCACGTGGCCAGTTGGAGATCCGCCTCGAGAATTCGAGGTGGTCGTGGCTAGGGGCGGAGCCAGCTCCACCACACACAATATAACAGGGGTCGGGAACCTTTTTGACTAAGAGAGCCATGAAAGCAAAAAAATTGGAAATTTATTTCAGTGAGAGCCATATAATATATTTTAAAAGTGAATTCAACTAAATGTCAGTATAATAAGCCTCTGAATTTATTCTTTTAAATAATGTTGTTATAACACTCACCATTAATGCGACTTCTGGTGCTGCATGGATTTGCTGATGTCTTTGTAGTCGGGTTGGTACTTGGTGAGGTTAAGCTTCATGCAAGCGTTGAGGCTTTCATCCGTTAAACGTGATCGTAGGTTGGACTTGATGTTTTTAAGATGTGAGAATGACTGCTCACATGCATACGTAGATCCAAACATGGTCAATACAGCAATACTCACACGCTGCAGTGTGTGGTATGTGACAGGAAGCGCGTTCCAAGTTTTGAGAATCAGCTGGTCTTCGGGTTGGAGTTTTTTCATTTCTGTCCACATGTGCTTGCTCGCCAACTCCGCTTTCTGTCGTGTGATTCTTTCCAAATCTTCATTCAGTGACTTGAACTTATTCACCCACATGTCTGAGGCCTTCAGGTCAGCCACTTCTGCTTCAAAATCTCTGACGGAGACACCAGGGATGTAATTCAGGTCGGCTGTGTTCAGTGAACACTCGTTTGGATGGGTGATGAACTTAAAAAGACGAGTGTGCTCACGAAATTCTCCAAAGCGTGCTTTGAAGGACTGTAGGAGACTGGATGTGCAGCCAGCTAGCTGGTGGAGATCAAGGTTTTGAATGGGCTCACTTGCTGTGCATGCATCTTTAAATTGGCTCAGTTTTTCAAAATGTAGTAAACGACCTGTTTCAAGATCCGTGATGAAAAGCTCCAGCTTGTTTTCAAAAGCAAATACAGCTTGTTGAAGGGATAACACTGTATTTCCAATGCCTTGCATTTTCACGTTTAGCTGGTTCAGATGTTCAGTCAGATCTACGAGATAGTAAAACTTGAGGAGCCACTCGGTGTCGGCTAGCTCAGGATGCCCGACGCCTTTCATTTCAAGGAAAGTCCGGATTTCGTTCAGGCAAGCCGCAAAACGGCTAAGCACCTTCCCTCTTGACAACCAACGCACATTGCTGTGCAAAAGCAGACCAGGATAGTTATTTACAACTTCATCCAGCAATGTTTTAAACTGGCGATCATTTAAGGCTCGGGCAACAATAAAGTTGATCACACGAATGACCAGCGACATCACTTCGCCAAACTGCCTGTCACACATCTGAGCACAAAGTGCCTCCTGGTGTATAATGCAATGGAAACTTAGGATGGGTCTATTTTCATGTTCACGGAGAAGCGCCACAAATCCTTTGTTTTTCCCCACCATACACGGAGCACCATCAGTACACACTGAGAGAAGTTTATCCATAGGTAGACTTTTTTCTTGAGCAAACTCCATGAAAGACTTGAATAAATCCTCACCTCTTGTGGACCCTTTTAATGGCAGAACAGCAAGACTTTCTTCGCGCAGTGTGTCACCAACAGCATATCTTGCAATCACGCTGAACTGCGACAAATGGCTCACGTCTGTTGACTCATCCAAAGCCAGAGAAAAGAACGGCGCTGCATTTATGTCCTTCACTTGCGTTTCCTCCACTTTGTTTGCCATCACGATGGTACGATCATGAACAGTTCTTGCCGACAGAGGCATGTCTTGTATCCGTTTGATTATCTTGTCTTTGTTCGGAAGATCATCAAAAAGTTCATTGGCTACATCCAGCATGAACGTTTTAGCATACTCGCCATCTGTGAATGGTTTTCCGTTCCTCACTATTGCTAAAGAACCAGCAAAGCTAGCCGAATTATAGTCACCTTGCCGGGTCCATACGCGGAGTTGCTGCTGGCTAGCTTGCACCCTGCTCAGAAGCTCTTGGCACGCTTTCTTTCTGCTGTCTCCCGCAGGGTATTTTGATGCAAAGGTAGCGTGGCGCGTGTCGAAGTGCCGCTTTACATTCGACCATTTCAACGATGTAATTTTGTCATTGCAAATTAGACACACCGCAGAACCCGCTCTCTCCACAAAGGCGAATTCTTCGGTCCATTCGTCCTGAAATGTACGATACTCGTCGTCTTTTTTTCTTTTCGCCATCTTCTTCGTCGAAGGGTTAGCTTTGAGCTAATGACCGAGCAGACGCAGTCTCAGACTGATTCAAAAGGGGGCGTTTACCTGTTTTACCCAGCAACGGCAAACGTAGGCCAGTATCATCCAATTAAAATAATGGACAATTGCTCCTGCAGCCCTGAACAGGACATGCGCAGTGAAAAATCGATGGATGGATTAAAACAAGTGAGAATATTTTGTTTTATCTGCGAGCCATATGCAATCATCAAAAGAGCCACATCTGGCTCGCGAGCCATAGGTTCCCGACCCCTGCAATATAAGCTGGGCCCCCTCAGTGGGACCAGTGACCGTTGTTCATCCTGAAGGCTTCACGTCCCAAATCTAACGTTCCACGTTCTACAGAGTCTCCAACACGAGGACCCGGACCCGAGCTGTGGTCCGGTCCATTGTAGCTAGTTCCGTGCGATTCGTGTGGCTAGCCTGGTGGTCCACCACCATAGAGTACTATCTGGTGAAGGGGCAGTTACCCCTTCGTGTTAACGTGGTAACGTTAATAAATGTGTTGTCTCCAAAAGTACGTCTGAGTCTCCCTTTGAGCCCACTACATATGTATGAACAGGTCCCAGTGATTTAAAGCTTTCGTGACTGCAGGGAATCATCTTCTTTGGTTCTTTCGGTAAAGCCACGTAGAATGAGAATACAATAATAAAATAAAAATAAGACAATAAAATTCTCACGACGTTTCGGCCACAGTTCTGTTCTTTCACCTGAAGAAGGCCGCTTGTGTTGTGGCCGAAACGTCGTGAGAATTTTATTGTCTTATTTTTATTTTATTATTTTATTCTCATTCTACGTGACTTTACCGAAAGAACCAAAGAAGGAGGTCCCAGTGAGCAATGTTGATCCCGATGTTGTCGCGGTTGTGCTGTCTAGCTGCCCGATGTGTTTTGGTGTCGTGCCGCGCGTTGTTCGGCACGGTGCCTGACACATCGATCCACATGCTGGGAGCACCTTCAGCCACTGATTGCATATTCAGTTAGTAATTCTATTCGGCATCAGTTCCTAAAAAAGCTATCAGAATGTGGAGCGAAACTTACGGACATCATCCCTAATGCGCAGCAGCAGCAGCAGCAGAGCGGAATGAGAATAATTATGAGAGGTGTGCAGCCACAGCTGGAAAAATCTACGAAGTACTCGGAGTGGCGTGTCTGTGACTTAACTTGCGCTGTGTTTCGTGAAACTAAATGGACGAAAGTTCCGATCGCGAGGTTGGGAGACGTTACCTATAACAAAGCTGCTCCTCCTTCCCTTACACAGGCTTTTGCAGCACGTGTTGAATGGACGGATCTGGAAGAAAGCTCAGGTTAGTGGATGAGATATTTGAACTGCTTTCGAGATAGCTAATCGATCTGGCCGATGTTATAGCAGTGTCTGACTCACAGGTGGAATCCTGAGTTCAAATCTTCCACGTTTAATCAAATTGCTAATACTAAATGTCCAAACAGCCACATGCTACCCCAGGCGTACTGATAAAACATTTAAGACAGTATTTTATTGGTACAGTAGTTATTAAATTAAGTGACTATGAGAGTATCTGGCTTAGTGGTCCTTCAGTCCGAATGTTTGACTCAATCAGAAGATTGCAAGTTCAAATCCTCGACAGAGAACAACTCAGCCCATCATCCTTCCAGAGTGAATAAAATTAGGTATCGCTTTATAGAAAATCAACAGCAGTTGTAGTCTGCAGATACTGATCCCCACAATAGGCATGTGGAACAAATGGAGACATGCAACACCCAATGTTTTTATTTCACTTTTTTATTGTAAGCTATAATTGATCTATTTTCATTATTTGTGCCACTTGTTGCTAATGCCCTATTATCTATAATTTACAAGTTCAATATAACACGTTAACCAAACTTTATTGAGCAAAATGCTTGACGGAACAAAGGCTTAGCTTGCAAGACAAAGAATCACGCAAATACGTTAATGCAGTGCAACAAATTGCTACATCACTACCACACGTGCCATTACTACACCATCACACGTGGCCATACAACATACATGTGCCATGACTGTACTACAACATATACACAAAATATACATCTCCGGGTTGGGCGTGGTTGTAAGATTCGATGCGGCGTTGGTCTTACTTCTGGGTAATTTCGGAGGCTCGGCCACAGGAGGAATATTCTGAATGTAGCAGCTTGCGCATCTCGTCGATACAAAAACTGAAACGCGGACCCTATGATTTATTGCATTTGAACGCTGGCACGGCACAAGGCATTGTCCGTTTAATTCCAGGTATTACAGAGCGTACAATTTAAGTTGCTCTAGTGTGGCAGTACATTCAAGTGGCGAGCTATGGAGTCAATTTTTAACGATGTCAATTACGCTTCATGTGGTGGGTGGGAATCATTTTATTGCCAGACGAGATCTAATGTCCGATACCAGTTCCTGGTGTGGCACCAGAATACTTACTTTTACTGTGACGTGGTCGCAGTGTCGCTCTAAAGATGAGATAATAAAAACCGCACTTTCCGTGGCATTGTACGCACCCTGTGGGAGTGAGGAATGATTCACAGTTACGAGCATCAGACTTTGGGTAATCACTATAGGAGTACTTTGGAGCAATACAAATCTAAGGCGGGCAAGCCCAGGCGTGGCCGGGAATACGGACGTATGTATGTTGAACTTCTTTCGCACCATACATAGACAACTGTGCTCCTTGGGGAAAAAAAAAACATTTTGTTGAAATAACTTATGCCTGCTCTTTAAAAAAAATATACTATCTGGGTCGAATGCCAAATACAAAGATACAGGTTCAAGTGAGGGTATGTTGTTGTCATCTCAAACAAGCATACACATGCATAAATTACTTGAAAAACGCGAAAGGGTCAAACGCATGTGTAATGGGTTCGATAGAGGCGCACACTCAACTTGGAGGCAACACTATTTATTCACAACGTAACAAACAACTTGCGTCTTCATCCTGGGGTTGAACAGCCACGCTCTCTGTTCACACCCCGCTTATAACTGCTGCTGAGGCATGGCCGGCCCCGCCCTCGGCCACGCCCCCCTTCCCGATCCTTCGGGAAGGGCCGGGCCCCTTACCACGTGACCACCAAGCTCCCCCCTGGGGCCCCTAGCCCACCCATTCAGTCCGGTCACGTGTCCTGTCGGGTTCACGCAAAGTGTCACGGCATGACGCGACTTCCGTGACACCCCGCCTACAGTACCCGTACAGAGCCAACACTGTAGTGATGTCATATGTCACTACACATGTACGCGCTGCGATCGGCGCACTGCATTTCGCCATCACTGGCATGAAGAGTAAATTGTACACAAATACGCCGACAGTGGTTTGAGATAGAGACTGGCATTCTCCGCGGGGGTGAGTTTTGTCACCAGCATTGTTCGACGCTTTAGAGGGAAAAAAACCTCAGAATTTGTAAACACAGAGAGATTGATTTTAACAAAGCGACCACCAAAAGAGCTATATTCTTTGGGTCTTTCGGTAAAGTCACGTAGATAAGTTGAAAGAAAATAACAAAAAATAACAAAAAACTACGACGTTTCGATTGCAACGCAAGCGTTCCTCATCATGAAGAAAATTGAGGGGGTTAGCTGCTGAGGCAGACTGTTTTCAGATTTCACCAAAAGAGCTGTTCAGCCGTGCAAAACGTCACTTAACACTAAACATTCAGACACCAGGAAGCCCATCAAATTGACCTCATTGGCACGATGATTTAGCCTCAGTGTGAGAACAAACAATTTTCAGCAATCATGTTCAAGGGATTAAACAGATTCTGGGGCAGAGTTACCAGGACACTCAACTACTGGGGCAGTGTGATGTGACAAGAGGGGGCTTCAAAAAGTGTTTTTATCCGAATGGGATATTTGTTTTCTAACTCGTCACACTTCGCGGGATACCAGTTTCATCTTGTACACCACACGTCCACGGTGCTTCCAAATAAGCCCAAGGTGAGGTCAGTGTGACCGTATTAGAAAATACGGCACCTCGTGCAGCTCCACTGCGGCCCCGCCAATCCCACGGCTGACAGCCTTACGAGAGGGAACGTTCCGTGGGTCAATAGACATGCGATTATGCAGATGTAGTGGAGTAGGAAGGTGTGTAGCACAAACAGCGTGATTACATGATCACACAGACAGTAACGGGTTATCTTGGGTCAGTCTGTAGTGAAGGCGAATACAGTGCAGGTTATTTTTAGAGTTGTCTTTTTTGTTTGCATTTTGACTGCTTGTGTTGTGGTTATTGCAAACATGATGCCTTGAATAAAGGTGTCAGTTTTTGTGCCAGTTAAAAGGGTAAAACCTATTCCTATATCTTGTTTCTGGCAAAGGAGGTCTCATAATATTAATGCTCACCCCGAGCCCTCAATACTCCGATAGTGCGCTGTTTTTGAGTTGTACGCCTTTTGGCGTCTTCTGGTCCAACACCAATGGAGACTAGGCTCTAAGAAAAGCTGTCTCGGGTGTGGACCAATCAAATTCAAGGACAGTGCATATTATTATCAGAGTTGTCTTTTTTGTTTGCATTTTGACTGCTTGTGTTGTGGTCATTGCAAACATGATGCCTTGAATAAAGGTGTCAGTTTTTGTGCCAGTTAAAAGGGTAAAACCTATTCCTATACCAGTGCAGGTTATGTTGGGGCAATTAAGCTGGGGTAGCCGTGGACGGCTGTGATTGGTTGGTGCTGTTCCCGGAGCTGGAGAGGCATCTGGAAGTCTGGCGAGAAACAGGTGCGACGGTCACACGGAGCGCCGTTGGGACGCGGGTTAATTAATTGGGGGTGTAATGAGAGCGGGTATAAGAGCGGGAGTCGGAGTCAACAGAGGGGAGTTGAGTTGAAGGGAGTTCAGCTTGGAGATGAGTTGAAGTTGGAGAGCTTGGGAGAGTTGGAGTGAAGAGTTGAAGGGTGGAGTTGCTGAGTGCAAAGACGCTGTGTGCGAAGACGCTGTGTGCGGAGTCGCTGTGTGCGGAGTTGCTGTGTGCGGAGTCGCTGTGTGCGAAGACGCTGTGTGCGGAGTTGCTGAGACGGAGTTAGAGACGAAGCAGTTAGTAGTGGAGTGAGCATAGTGACGGTGATAGCGGAGAACAGATACGAAGTAGTTAGCGGTGGAGAGAGCATAGTGACGGTGATAGCGGAGAGCGGAGACGAAGAAGTTAGTGGCGGAGTAAGTGAAGTAATCGTGGGGAGTGGAGAGACAAAGGTGGCGAGCGAGTCGAGTGAAGCACGGCGAGCGAGCTGTGGCGACCAGGATACTGCGGAATATGGAGGACATGCTGAGAGTTGTAAATAAAGCGGTGTTCGAAGAAAGACAGAAGTTGTCCGCGTGAAATCGAACACTACACAAGCATCACCCCTCCCTGCCTGTAACTAGCACTACAGTTTTTCGAACGAAAGTGCTACACTTTCCATTCCTATAAATTATATATTTTAAAATTTTTACCAGTTAGGGCCCACTTAGCTATGTAGCTTTTTTTCAGAAGCAACCCAGCCACAAATGATAACTCAACGAAGTGGCTTATCACGTCAAAATTTATAGCAGCCAAATACTCTAAATGCGTGTTTCTACATGTGGAGGGAAAACCCGGAAGGACCCAGATAAAAATCCACGCGACCACGAGGAGAGAGACATGAAAACTCAAAATATACAGCAGGCGTCAGCGTTGGGATTGAACCCCTCCTCCATACCAGGCGAGGGATTTAAAATCTCGCCGCCTGCACGCACACACGCATCTCGGGCATTCTCTGCGCCATAGACACGGAGTGTGGAGCCCACTAGTGAGAACCCCTTCGGTGCGTTTGGGTAAAGATGTTCACGCTCATCATGCCAGGTGTAGAAATTTAGTGTGGAATTTTTGCATTTGCGGAGCATCGTTTTGAATGCCACTTGGGACGATTGTTGATCTCAGGATTGTTGAGGAGGGAATGTTGAACTCAGGATTGTTGAACTCAGGATTGTGGAGGAGGGAATGTTGAACTCAGGATTGTTGAACTCAGGATTGTTGAGGAGGGAATGTTGAACTCAGGATTGTAGAACTCAGGATTGTGGAGGAGGGAATGTTGAACTCAGGATTGTAGAACTCAGGATTGTGGAGGAGGGAATGTTGAACTCAGGATTGTTGAACTCAGGATTGTTGAACTCAGGATTGTTGAGGAGGGAATGTTGAACTCAGGATTGTTGAACTCAGGATTGTGGAGGAGGGAATGTTGAACTCAGGATTGTTGAACTCAGGATTGTTGAGGAGGGAATGTTGAACTCAGGATTGTTGAACTCAGGATTGTTGAGGAGGGAATGTTGAACTCAGGATTGTTGAATTCAGGATTGTTGAGGAGGGAATGTCAGTTGTCTCCTTGCATTGGCTTCCAGTGAAATACAGGATCGAATGTAAAGTTCTTGTCGTGACTTTCAAGTTCCTGAATTGGTTAGCTCCGTTATATCTCGGTGATCTGCTGAAACCGTTTGCCCCTGTCCGGCAAACTTTGATCCACCGAATCCGGGCACCCTGGGTGTACCTCGGACACATCTGCGTTAAGTGGCGCGACAGAGCCTTCAGTCGTCAGGCGCCTCGTTTGTGGAACGCTTTGCCCCAGTCCCTTTGGGAAGCTCCGTCAGTCTAGGTTTTAGGGCTCATCTGAAAACACGTTGTTGTTGTTTCTCTTGCATATCCGTCTATTAGTTTTAATGTTTAATGTTGTTTTTTTACTGGAGTTGTGTTGTCAAGTGCTGTGAGGCCTTGTGTGAATGGCGATATATACAACTGAGTTTTACTTCCTTACTTAACATGCCACGTACATGATGCTCATGTAAGCTCAATTGAGCTTACATTTACCGTACTATTTTAATTATTCTAATTTCTGTTGACATTTTTAGACGATTATATGAAAGCACAGTGACCAGCACCAGTGGAGACAATTCATAATTCAACTGCACCCAAGTTACTAAAATACAAACATGTTTCATGTTGATATAAAAGAGAATACATTATGTTGAATGTTTGAATTTTTAATGATAATGTGACTCATGCCTTGAGTGCATAAGCAGCGGCGGCAGAAGACATATGTGTACATGCACGCTAATCATTAACGACACCAACAACAGCACTTTGCGCTTTCGCTTGATATACTCGAGCCAGCCAGTTGAAAGCAGGCATCCATGCGGAGGTCATGTGCAAAGTTGCCAATCCCGAGTGAATGTGTGGTCTTACCTTCATTACATTCGTCTCCATTTCTTTGAAGCAGCCCCTGTCATCTTCATGACTGAAGACAACAGCGAGCGTGTAGTGATCAAAGTAAGGTGCTGTGTTGAAGAACACACGTAGACTGTTTGAAGCCAGTGTGATGTTCATCTTTGGGTCCCAATCTATTCCTGAAATGTCAAGTGAAGGTTTTAAAAGAATTAGATCTTTGTCCCAATTGTATTGTGCAGAAGTAGAAAGAAAGTAAAAGGATAAAGGGGCAGCCCTGATGTATACAGGTGGTCGTGGGTTCGATGCCACATATTTAGGTTAAAAGTTTAAACTGCAAATAAGATACTGACTTTGAATTTCCGTACAACTCTTGGCTGTATTTAGTACAAATATAAACCGCAAGATAAGGGGGTGAAAGTAATGGCACCCAGTGACCCACGTTGGCAAGATGTTAACCATACAGGAGGTTGGGGGATCGGTCCCAACCCTGACACCTATATATGTGGAGTTTGCATGTCTCTCTCTGTGTGGTCGCGTGGATTTTTATCTGGGTCCCTCCACGTTTAGAATCAACGTCACGCGTTTAGAGTTATTTGGCTGCTATACATTTCCACATGACGAGCCACTTCGTTGAGCTATCATTTGTGATAGCCAGGTCACTTCTGAAAAAGAACTACGTATCTCAGTGAGGCCTTACCTGGTGAAATAGTTTAGTTTTACCTTATGTCCTGCTTAAGAGGATGCTGGTCGAAGGACCTGCACCAGAGGCAGCAATAGAGAGCCCCTTTCGAGGTGATTGTGTTTCCTCTACTACGTTGCCCAGATGTCTTGGAAGAGGCTAAAGTACCCACACTTAACCCATCACCACACACACGACTTGCCAATGGACTATTTATCTTGTGCCCAGTTATACCGGGGGAATTTTAAGAAACGTTGCGCATTACTTCATCCGCTGGACAGAATTGAACGTGCGACCTCCCTATGTTATGGATGTATGTTGAACTTCTTTCGCACCGTGCGTAGCCAACCGTGCTAATCGGAGGATTGGAAGTCCAGTGTGCATTCCTGGCCGATTATCTGCTCAGAATAACAAGGAGAGGCAATGCGCGCTGACAGAAAAAAACACAAGATCATCAATTGTCGAGCCAATAGACCCTCGATGAGACTCGTGATTAATGATCCACTCGACCACACTGAGTCATCAATACGACTTTTTTTAAAATGAAAATTTAACCACTTTTATATTTTGGCCTACATCAGCATATATTGATTTCTCCGAAACTACTTACACAAGCTATGGCATGGAAATGTATTACGTGGAGAATGCTCTCTTGAATACATTTAATTAAGAATGTTGCCCATCTTGTATCGGGCCACATTGTCCATTGTTAAAGATAAATTGTAATTTAATGTGGTTTCACATGGCTTTAATGATTGATTTTAACCGATTGTGTGCTCATTAACTGCACTCTACGGCGAACAAGTGCTTTTTGACTAAGTGGACAACGGAACACCAAGCAACAACATTATTGCAAGGTGCATCATGAATAATTGTGGGCTATTATTTTGGACTGTATGTAGCCAACCGTGCCAATCGTAGCGTATACAGAAGCTACACCGCGAAACCGGACACACCTCTGACGATGCATTTGTGTGTCTTTTTCATCGCCTCACTTTTGCAATCTGAAAAGGCAAGACGAATTACATTGAAATAGCCCCTGGCACGCTTCATCGTTCCAAAAGGTGATTGATCCGCTCACAAATGCTGCAAGCATTCTATTTAAAGTGGTCAGCATGCCTAAGACTGCACAATTGCATACAATTCACGAACTGCCATGCAAGCCACCGAGCACATTTATTTTTGGTCTCTGTAATTCTCATGCTTGTCAATCCTGATTTAAGTGGCTGCCTGCCAACGTATGAAACACTTTTGCAGTATACCGATTTAAAAAAGCAAAAATGTAGTTAAAAATCCTGAAACTATTCATAAAGTGGTGTGACACGGTTGATGATCGTGGCATTTTTAAAAAATAAATGGATGGCAGAGAGACTGCGCGGCAAACTGCGTACCGGTTTCGTACTCATTAAGACTCGTCAGAAGTGTATAGCCATACTGGCCTCCTGCCGTCGCATGTGCCCCAGGAGCTTGTGTGGGCCGGTCCAGCTGAAGACGCAACGATGAAGCTCGAAACGTTGAATTGCTTCTTCAACTAAAGTGTTTTGAGTTCGATATAACTGAAAATGTACCCGACTTTTGTGACACCCAAGTCACGTGCAACGTAAGCGCATCACCCAGCTGCCCGAATTACGATCGAGTGGGGCTCCATTTGGATGGCTTCCTCAGTGCGAACGACAAATGCAGAACCACGTTGCCACGCGCACCTGCGACCCATTTGTACACACAGACACACCTCCTCAAGGAAGCCCTCGTCGTTCGGTGTGGAGATCACGGAGGGCAGAGACAATTTGTTGCAGTGGTCATCGGGTTTGCAGATCACGTGGCATTCAGGATGAGTAATAGTATTTATAGGGCACTGCCTAAATGGCTCAGCATCGTAAATTCTCCTTTTATGTGATCTCATCTCAAGCATTCAAATGTCCTACTGTAGCACGGCCAAGGGAACCCCCAGTGGCAGCTGTCCCTGTGCCACACAAGGTGAATGCAGCACGGACCTCTAAGTGGGAATGCGTCTGCCAGTCGGGGACGATGTTGCTGCGGCTTTTTAAAATTATATAATTTGCAAATACTGTAATTGATCAAATGTGACAAATACAATCACTTGATCTAGAGTTGGTCATTTATCACGCAGGCTACAGGTTATACTACCTCCTGTCCAACTTACTCAGGGTGCAGGGATTCTACCATCCCATTTTAGCTGCAGTTTCACTGCCATCGCTTCTGAAGCTCCCAAGCAAAAACGTCGGACGTCATGCCGAACAATGCACGGTACAACCCAGAGAGTCGCGCAGTGCAACCGCGAAATGCATTTTGTGTTTATCAATACGCGAAACATATAACTGGGCTCAGGACGGAGGGTGCTTCCTGTAAGCAAGTCTGATGGTTACATCGCTCACCTGGCACCTTGATGCTACCTTGAACATGAGCGTCGTCCTCCCCCGTGGATGGCCGTGGCAGGTGGTACACTGTGACCGTGACGTAGTCCGAGGGCTCCACCTCGTATTGGTCGAAGCTAAATTCCCACTGAAATACAATACGTGACGGCCACTCCGCTCAGAGACAAGTCGACGCTGTTCCGAATGGCAAGGCATAACTTATGATGGAAACCTTTGATAATGTATGAAACATAAGAATAGGTTTCACCCTTTCTGGCAAAAAAAAACAGAAGGTGTTATGATGTCCAAACGCCAACTAGATACCTCTTGCAAGGCATCAAGTCTGCATTAACCACACGTACTTGTGGCAAAACATGCAAACAAACATGCTCTGATAATATATGTATCGTCTTTGAAACGAATTTGCCTACACCAGAGACAGCCTTCATTATGGCTTTGTCTCACCAGTGTAAGACCAGAGAACGCCAAAAGCCAAAAAGCACAAAGACAATCCAAATATCAGAGCATTTATAGCTTGGGTTGAGCAGTTATATCTATGGGACCTTATTGCCAGTATCAAAGTATTAAAAATAAGAATAGGTTTTACCCTTTCTGGTCAGTGCGGGGGGTGAAGTTGGCCAGATTTGATGGTGACATCAACAACACATTGGAGCGACGCACATATTCAGTGTCGGACCTAGGCCAGCAATGGAATTACACATTTTTCAATCTTTCCACAGGACAACTACTGTTGCCATCCCACAACAGCCAGGTATTGGTAGTACACGCCTGCGATCCATGACTTTGGAGGCAAAGCTTGGTGAAGCTCGCAAGACCTTGCTGGTTTGAAATGGCCCGGAGATGGCAGAACAGCAAACGGGTTCTCAAATTAATCTTTGTGACCTTTCCCCTCATTAAACTGTATGTGCAATTGATGTGGGCACACCAGTTTACTTCTACATGCAAAACACTCCGATTAGCACGGTGCGAAAGAAGTTCAACAACATAATGAAATGGCCAAACATCCCAATGCAGGACCATCTTGCAAAAGAGCCATGAGTCTCGGTAAGGTGTTCCTGGATGAATATTTGTTACTAGTCTATTGAACCTGGAGGGGTGATGGGCTGAGTTTGCCGCTCACTGATAAGTGAACTCAGAAATCCTTCAGACTGTTGGGTAGACACCTGGGTAGACAAAGTCTTAGCATCATAAAGGGGTATATGTGCATCTAATCAAACACAAGTAAACCATCATCCTTTGAACTTAACAGATTAACAAACCGCATGGACTTTAAGCAAGAACTCACTACAATGTGGGCATTGTGTAATGGTCTTACATTTTGTCCCAGTTGTGTATTTCGCCTGGGGAAGGGGACTTTGCTAAAGTTGAAGATGATGTGGTGACTTTTTGAGCCATGGGTGATGATTAGCTCTGCACCATCCAAATGATTTATGCTTCCTGATACAAAAAACATGGCATCATAAACACAGAGTATTAGAAAATATCGCATTACAACCCCTACCATACTCATGAACATTTAAGTAATTCAAGAACATTGTGGCTAGAACAGTATTTCAAAGGTCTAACAAGTATTGTTGTAATGTGTGTACTGCAGACGAGACATTCAAATAACAAGAGAATATAAAAAATGTAAGTCCAGTGTGACACCAACTTTACACCACAGCAGCGCCCAGCAGAGTATCAATTTATTACGAAGAATTTTAGCGATCGTTTTTTTCTTTCAGCTTGGAACCTGAGCAACCCATTGCGCTACAGTGATTGCTGAACAAGGGGCACGTGCACTCCGATATTCCCTCCATTGGCCTGGCAAGAGGCCTGAGCAACACAGCCATAAGCTGGCGTGGTGTGGCCTGCTGTTATATTGTACAAGTGAAAACGAGGCGCTTGTATAGCGATGGCTTCTCAAAGTTCACCCCGCCTCTTAGCAGTGGTTCGAGAGTGAATATGTCGAGCAAGATGTCAGCAAACGCGATTCTATATATATAAAAAAGGCAGTGTTGACTTTGAAGAAATCCGAGATTTTGAAAAGCACCTCTCAATTGAGAGACCAGACAGAACATTCTAACCGTGGGAATAATGGAGTAGACACTGCGTGAGATTCTACGCGCGATTCATAAAACCCTTGGTGCGAAGTGTTCCACGCATTTGTTTTTATTGACTGGAAATGATAAGCGCTGAACACGCACAAACTGATAAAGAAATCGACCCACTTATACATCGGAGAGCCCTTTATCTTGGTTCAACATTACCAAACCGCCAACTGCCACCTTTGTACCCTTGATCGTGTACGTTGGTTCGTGTTGTGCTCACCTGTGTAGCCTTGATCGTTTTCGTGTTGCTTCTCTGTGTTGTGTCTCTGTGTTGTGTCTCTGTGGTGTGTCTCTGTGCTGTGTCTCTGTGTTGTGTCTCAGTGTCTCTGTGGTGTGTCTCTGTGCTGTGTCTCTGTGCTGTGTCTCTGTGATGTGTCTCTGTGTCTCTGTGCTGTGTCTCGGTGTCTCTGTGTTGTGTCTCTGTGTTATGTCTCTGTGGTGTGTCTCTGTGGTGTGTCTCTGTGTCTCTGTGCTGTGTCTCTCTGTTGTGTCTGTGTTGTGTCTTTGTGTTGTGTCTCTGTGGTGTGTCTCTGTGTCTCTGTGCTGTGTCTCTGTGTCTCTGTGTTGTGTCTCTGTGTTGTGTCTTTGTGTTGTGTATCTGTGTTGTGTCTCTGTGTTGTCTCTGTGGTGTGTCTCTGTGGTGTGTCTCTGTGTCTCTGTGTTGTCTCTGTGTTGTGTCTCGGTGTCTCTGTGTTGTGTCTCTGTGTTGTCTCTGTGTTGTGTCTCTGTGCTGTGTCTCTGTGTTGTGTCTGTGTGTTGTGTCTCTGTGTTGTGTCTCTGTGTCTCTGTGTTGTGTCTCTGTGCTGTGTCTCTGTGTTGTGTCTCAGTGTCTCTGTGGTGTGTCTCTGTGCTGTGTCTCTGTGGTGTGTCTCTGTGTCTCTGTGCTGTGTCTCGGTGTCTCTGTGTTGTGTCTCTGTGTTGTGTCTCTGTGGTGTGTCTCTGTGGTGTGTCTCTGTGTCTCTGTGTCTCTGTGCTGTGTCTCTGTGTTGTGTCTGTGTTGTGTCTTTGTGTTGTGTCTCTGTGGTGTGTCTCTGTGTTGTGTCTCTGTGTCTCTGTGTCTCTGTGTTGTGTCTGTGTTGTGTCTGTGTGTTGTATCTCTGTGTTGTGTCTCTGTGTTGTGTCTCTGTGCTGTGTCTCTGTGTCTCTGTGTTGTGTCTCTGTGTTGTATCTCTGTGTTGTGTATCTGTGGTGTGTCTCTGTGTTGTCTCTGTGTTGTGTCTCTGTGTTATGTCTCTGTGCTGTGTCTATGTGTCTCTATGTTGTGTCTGTGTTGTGTCTGTGTGTTGTGTCTCTGTGTTGTGTCTCTGTGGTGTGTCTCTGTGTTGTGTCTCTGTGTTATGTCTCTGTGCTGTGTCTATGTGTCTCTGTGTTGTGTCTGTGTTGTGTCTGTGTGTTGTATCTCTGTGTTGTGTCTCTGTGTTGTGTCTCTGTGCTGTGTCTCTGTGTCTCTGTGTTGCGTCTCTGTGTTGTGTCTCTGTGTTGTGTATCTGTGGTGTGTCTCTGTGTTGTCTCTGTGTTGTCTCTGTGTTGTGTCTCTGTGTTATGTCTCTGTGCTGTGTCTATGTGTCTCTGTGTTGTGTCTGTATTGTGTTTGTGTGTTGTGTCTCTGTGTTGTGTCTCTGTGGTGTGTGTCTGTATTGTGTCTCTGTGTTATGTCTCTGTGCTGTGTCTATGTGTCTCTGTGTTGTGTCTGTGTTGTGTCTGTTTGTTGTGTCTCTGTGTTGTGTCTCTGTGTTCTGTTTCTGTGCTGTGTCTCTGTGTTGTGTCTCTGTGTTGTGTCTCTGTGTTGTCTTTGATGTTAATGTTATTCGAAGTGTTCAACGTTTTGATATGCAAGTGTTATGAATGACGCTGGATAAAATTATAATTATCAGTTAAGGTAGCATGAACATGAATTAATGCACTTCTTGAATTGAGCAAGTTTCTACAGTGAGGGAAAAAAGTATTTGATCCTCTGCTGATTTTGTACGTTTGCCCACTGACGAAGAAATGATCAGTCTGTAATTTTAATGGTAGGTTTATTTGAACAGTGAGAGACAGAATAACAACAAAATCCAGAAAAACGCATGTCAAAAATGTTATAAATTGATTAGCATTTTAATGAGGGAAATAAGTATTTGACCCCCTCTCAATCAGAAAGATTTCTGGCTCCCAGGTGTCTTTTATACAGGTAACGAGCTGATATTAGGAGCACACTTTTAAAGGGAGTGTTCCTAATCTCAGCTTGTTACCTGTATAAAAGGCACCTGCCAACAGAAGCAATCAATGTATCAGATTCCAAACTCTCCACCATGGCCAAGACCAAAGAGCTCTCCAAGGATGTCAGGGACAAGATTGTAGACCTATACAAGGCTGGAATGGGCTACAAGACCATTGCCAAGCAGCTTGGTGAGAAGGTGACAACAGTTGGTGCGATTATTCGCAAATGGAAGAAACACAAAAGAACTGTCAATCTCCCTCGGCCTGGGGCTCCATGCAAGATCTCACCTCGTGGAGTTGCAATGATCATGAGAACGGTGAGGAATCAGCCCAGAACTACACGGGAGGATATTGTCAATGATCTCAAGGCAGCTGGGATCATAGTCACCAAGAAAACAATTGGTAACATACTACGCCGTGAAGGACTGAAATCCTGCAGCGCCCGCAAGGCCCCCCTGCTCAAGAAAGCACATATACATGCCCGTCTGAAGTTTGCCAATGAACATCTGAATGATTCAGAGGACAACTGGGTGAAAGTGTTGTGGTCAGATGAGACCAAAATGGAGCTCTTTGGCATCAACTCAACTCGCCATGTTTGGAGGAGGAGGAATGCTGCCTATGACCCCAAGAACACCATCCCCACCGTCAAACATGGAGGTGGAAAAATTATGCTTTGGGGGTGTTTTTCTGCTAAGGGGACAGGACAACTTCACCGCATCAAAGGGACGATGGACGGGGCCATGTACCGTCAAATCTTGGGTGAGAACCTCCTTTCCTCAGCCAGGGCATTGAAAATGGGTCGTGGATGGGTATTCCAGCATGACAATGACCCAAAACACACGGCCAAGGCAACAAAGGAGTGGCACAAGAAGAAGCACATTAAGGTCCTGGAGTGGCCTAGCCAGTCTCCAGACCTTATTCCCATAGAAAATCTGTGGAGGGAGCTGAAGGTTTGAGTTGCCAAACGTCAGCCTCGAAACCTTAACGACTTGGAGAAGATCTGCAAAGAGGAGTTGGACAAAATCCCTCCTGAGATGTGTGCAAACCTGGTGGCCAACTACAAGAAACGTCTGACCTCTGCGATTGCCAACAAGGGTTTTGCCACCAAGTACTAAGTCATGTTTTGCAGAGGGGTCAAATACTTATTTCTCTCATTAAAATGCAAATCAATTTATAACATTTTTTAACATGCGTTTTTCTGGATTTTTGTTGTTGTTATTCTGTCTCTCACTGTTCAAATAAACCTACCATTAAAATGGTAGACTGATCATTTCTTTGTCAGTGGGCAAACGTACAAAATCAGCAGGGGATCAAATACTTTTTTCCCTCGCTGTAAGTACTTGGGAAACGAGGCAATGGGAGGGAATTCCAAAGTTGAGTACTGTACGTGACTTCTCCTGCAATGTGGAGGTTCAACAAAGTATTGACGAGAGAGGCGGTCTGGTACGCCGAGGAAGCAGCTTGGGTGCAGGAGCAGTCCACGTGGTAGCAGCAAGAGAGGAGTGTTAAGGAGACGACAGTGGCGAGTGACTGCCTGCAGTGAATCAGTGCGTAATGGATTATCAACCATCCAGATTGCATCACGCTGATGTCTGTCAAGTGTTGTGGGCTAGCAACTCAGTGCTCCACCCTCCACAGGATTACAACTGGAGCCGAACTTGTGCTTTGTGTGCCAGCAGTCACGCAACGTTCAGTGACACTCTCCTAGGAGGTGACCAAGATGTGTGGTGAAGGGAGGTGGAACGTGCAATGTGTTTGGTTACCTGTTAAAACTCGCATTTCCGAGTTATCTTCAACCTTAACTTTAACAGCCCTTTGGTCCAACTCATTACAATTCCGCCACCTTTGGCTCTCCCGAGTACACATCAGCCTCACCCTTTCATCCTTTTCATTAAATGTTGTTTATTCTGATAAGGCGGTCACCCATGGACCACAGTGAAGTGTGTTTTACGCAAGGGATATCTGAAGCCACACTTTTAGTAACCAGCATGGTACAAACGTGATGGGATACATTCACGTGAATGACATGATTGCTTTAAACTTACCTTTGATTCTGTAAAGAAAATATCGTTATTGAGTCACGGTGATTTAATGAATTAAGTAGCAGGTGTGTTATTCGTAAAGAAATTACTGCCTTCATGTTGTTTTTTTAAAAATACATTTCTTCTGCAGGCTCAGTTCTCGTGGAATATGTAATTTGTCTGGGCCAAAGAGATTTTACATTGGTGTTATTCTTCATTTAACAGGTATTGCCTCAGCCACTTTCCCTTCACAAGCCCATGTAGAGCGCTTTCCCAAACCGCTTGGGCAGGACAACGCGGCGAGAAGGGACGGTGCCCCCAATGTCGAGCGTAGGCATTGAGTGGCAGTCAAAACATTGAAAGCAACCCAGACCACATCCCACTGAGGAGATGGAGCGGTGAAGTCCGTACGTGTGCTTCAGGTGGGTTATCACATCGCAGCTCTGCGAGTGGTGGCGGTGGTTTTGGGGGATGTCTTCATCCAGCAGTGGATTGACCATGGCTGATGATGAACCATGAGGTAATGTACATTCTGTATGTATGTTGAACGTATTTCGCACCGTATGTAGCCTTTCCCCCCGCACCTCTGATTCCTTCCCACCCCTCAACCTCCGATTAACACGGCTGGCTACGCACGGTGCGAAAGAAGTTCTACGTACGTACGTACGTTGAACTTCTTTCGCACGTAGCCAACCGTGCTGCTCGGAGGTTGCGACGCTTCAGTGAATCCCTCACCGTCTGGAATGACCTCCCAGCTTGCACGGAGCCAAGGAGTGCCACGTCCACCGGCACCCGGAGCGACGACCACGCTCAGGCTCAGAGAGCGTGGGGCAGAGGGCGTCCACTGTGCCGGCGTGGACCAGCTGTGGTGATTGGCCGCCGCTGTAAGACCACGCAGCGCACACAGCACACCACCACCAGGGCCCACAGGAAGGGGCGGCAAATGCTGCCTGACACCAATAAAGATTGTGCCACTGAGAGATTGATAGCAGAAAAAAAAGTGCGTCAATTACCAGCATTGCCTGCCACGTTTCAATACGAAAAAGATCCAGCCGGGTGGGAAGCCAGCGATAATAACCGATGACTTTTGCAAAGGAGATGTGCATTTAGGTTGAGAGAATTCGTGGCATTTTAAAGCAATCCGTGGGCAGCTTTGAAAATGCAACTGGTAATAATACCCACGAATGATGTCACGGTGGTTTTTATTTTTTCAATGACCACTTCACAACGGGCAAAGACAAGTGGCAATGTCGACTGCCAAGGCGAGAGACATAAAATGTGCAGACCAAATCAGGTCACGGTTTGCTCGTTGTCGTCATCATCGCCGGCGCTCGGGAAAAAAAAAAATCAAAATCAAACCCTCGTAATTTAGGTCAAAGCGTCCCTTCCTTGCATTTGAGAAGTTTCATCAGACAACCAACGTTGAACCGTTCGCCAAGCAGTGCAAACATACAAAAAGGGTATCTGTTTCATGCTTGAACATCTTAACACCTGCTTTATTGCCAGGAAGGGTAAAACCCTATTCTTATTTTTAATCATGTTGGATACTGGCAAAAAGGTCCCATCGATAAAACTGCTCGACCAGAGCTTAACGTGTTCTGATACTTACAGTGTCTCTTTACTGTTAGATTTTTGGCGTTGTTCTCTGGTCTGACACTGGTGGTGAGACGAGGTCATAAAGAAGGTTGTCTCTGGTGTAGGCCAATCAGTTTCAAAGGCAATGCATTTATAATGATCGGAGCATGTTTGTTTGCGTGTTCACCACAAGTATGTGTGGTTAATGCAGACTTGATTCCTTGCAAGAGGTATCTAGTTGGTGTTTGAACATCTCAGCACCTGTTTTATTGCCAGAAAGCTAAAACACATTCTTATTTTTCATCAGTAGAAACATACATATTAATTGCAGTTTGCTGCTGCTTTATTTGCCAGTACAAAAATAAATAATCATCAAGAAGTAGAGTTCATATCTACAGTGTGGCACTGTAGCGTATCTACATTGTCCACCTAGTGTCCTGATATTCTGATGGGAGGAGGCATTAGACCCATAAGTTATTAATGAAACTAATTTCAAGGTGTTACATAAAGTCACGGATACTGATAATAAAAATAATACGACATACGTGTGTTTTGGATTTGGGTTAAAGCAGAAGACTTTTTTATACTCTCAGATTTAAAAAAAACATGAAAAAATTTTCTTAAACAATCATCTTGGCAGTAGTTATACTGTTTGGAACATCTATAATCCACGAATTAAAAAGTAATCTGTGTAACCCGAGGTGAGTGTTTTATATTTGTTCACCAAATGAGTCATTCCCTCGTGTTGTGGGGAAACCAGACAGAGGATTTTGTGGCAGGTACCGACCGAGCTGCCTCTGTCACCACTTGTTTTTGAGTCTTGTGTAAGTGCACTATTTAGGTCACCCTTGCAAAAGTAGAGTGGTAATATAAACTTAAATTATTTAAACTGAAATTTGTTTCTATTTGATCAGGTAAGGCCCACTGAGCTCGTTTGCGGACGTGACCTGGCTACAAGTCATAGCTCAACGAAGTGGCTCAACACGTGGGCTTTTGTAGCAGCCAAAGACTCTGAACGAGTGTTGTTGATTTTAAATGTGGAGGGAAAAACCGGAGGACCCGGAAAAAAACCCCACGTGACCACGGGGAGAGAGACACGCAAACTTTAAATATACAGCAGGTATCAGGGTCGGGATCTAACCCACAATCTCCTGTATACCAGGCAAAGTAGTTAACATTTTCTAGCCACCTGCCCAGGTTTTACTCGGGCAGTCTGGGAATTGGCATCTGTGTGTCTGACGGCAGGAATTGATTCTTTCCCGAGATCTGGTGGCGTTGTGTTGAACTTTATTACATTTTACTGACTGAGAAATGTCTGGGTTTGGTCTGTGGAAAACGTGGCAGCCTTCTACAAGAGTGATATAACACCTGTAACATTGCTAAATGATGTAATTAAGCTTTCCCCCCCCCCTTCATACCCCTCTTAGAATGATGGTTAAACATAAACGCCGATTTTGCCACGTCAATGCATCACCATTTTAAAAGATTTGCAAAAATAAAAATCACAGACGGTAATGTATCGTGAAACATTTGTACCGCATAGGCCATAATGCATCAACTGTTGGTAATTTCATTACCCGTGTGCCTTATCGCGCAGACGATAAGCAAATATGCAATCAATAACAGCGTCCCTTACCTTCTCGCATTGTACAAACAATTCCCTGCAAAGCGACACACACACAACAACAACAACAACCACAACAACAACAACATCATTTTTTTTACCGCTTTAAAAAATGGGCAAAATTCAATTTTTTTTTATTTTATTGCCGGCCGGAGATTGAAGACCGCGCGGGACGAACGACGCCGCTGCTCCCCAAACGCCCTGTCGCCAACAACGCGCGCCGTGCAACAAAACTAGCGCGCCGTGCAACAAAACTAGCGCGCCGTGCAACAAAACTGGCGCGCCGTGCAACAAAACTAGCGCGCCGTGCAACAAAACTAGCGCGCCGTGCAACAAAACTAGCGCGCCGTGCAGCAAAAACTAGCGCGCCGTGCAACAAAACTGGCGCGCCGTGCAACAAAACTAGCGCGCCGTGCAGCAAAACTAGCGCGCCGTGCAGCAAAACTAGCGCGCCGTGTAACAAAACTAGCGCGCCGTGCAACAAAACTAGCGCGCAGAGGAACAAAACTAGCGCGCCGTGCAGCAAAAACTAGCGCGCCGTGCAACAAAACTAGCGCGCCGTGCAACAAAACTAGCGCGCCGTGCAACAAAACTAACGCGCCGTGCAACAAAACTAGCGCGCCGTGCAACAAAACTAGCGCGCCGTGCAACAAAACTAGCGCGCCGTGCAACAAAACTAGCGCGCCGTGCAACAAAACTGGCGCGCCGTGCAACAAAACTAGCGCGCCGTGCAACAAAACTGGCGCGCCGTGCAACAAAACTAGCGCGCCGTGCAACAAAACTAACGCGCCGTGCAACAAAACTAGCGCGCCGTGCAGCAAAACTAGCGCGCCGTGCAACAAAACTAGCGCGCCGTGCAGCAGAACTAGCGCGCCGTGCAGCAAAACTAGCGCGCCGTGCAACAAAACTAGCGCGCCGTGCAACAAAACTAGCGCGCCGTGCAACAAAACTAGCGCGCCGTGCAGCAAAACTAGCGCGCCGTGCAACAAAACTAGCGCGCCGTGCAACAAAACTAGCGCGCCGTGCAGCAAAAACTAGCGCGCCGTGCAACAAAACTAGCGCGCCGGGCAACAAAACTAGCGCGCTGTGCAGCAAAAACTAGCGCGCCGTGCAGCAAAACTAGCGCGCCGTGCAACAAAACTAGCGCGCCGCCCCACCGCGTCGTTTGCGAGCCGGCACGGATGAGTTGCTGAGCGTCGGCGCAGCGCGGGCTCTTACCGGCTGTGAGCAATCGGTGTGCCGTAGTTGCACGCCGCGCCCGCAGACCGTGGCGGCGTGCCCGTGCGGTGCCTGGCGGCGAAGGCACAGCGCCGCCACGCAAAAGCGCAGGAGCAGCGGCAGCAACAGCGTCAGGTGCTGCTGATGCTGATGATGCTGATGATGATGCTGATGATGATGCTGCTTGGGGTTCCTTTTCACGTTCATCATCGGTGGTGCGTCGCGGGTGTCGTCAACGGTGCGTGAACGCGGCGCGCGCGCCCAGAAGCCCTGCGGAATCATTTCACGAGATCGGAGAGGGAGGGGGGTGGGTGGGTTTGGGCGCGGAAGCCAGGGTTTGTTTGTTGTTGTTTGTTGTTTGTTGATGTTTGTTTGTTGTTGTTTGTTGTTGTTGGTTTGTTGATGTTTGTTTGTTGTTGTTTGTTTGTTGATGTTTGTTGTTGTTTTGTTGATGTTTGTTTGTTGTTGTTTTGTTGATGTTTGTTTGTTGTTGTTTGTTGTTGTTTTGTTTGTTGATGTTTGTTTGTTGTTGTTTATTGTTGGTTTGTTGATGTCTGTTTGTTGTTGTTTGTTTGTTGATGTTTGTTTGTTGTTGTTTGTTTGTTGATGTTTGTTGATGTTTTTTGTTTGTTGTTGATGTTTTTTTTGTTGATGTTTGTTTGTTGATGTTTGTTTGTTGTTGTTTGTTTGTTGTTGTTTGTTTGTTGATGTTTGTTTGTTGATGTTTGTTTGTTGTTGTTTGTTTGTTGATGTTTGTTTGTTGATGTTTGTTTGTTGATGTTTGTGTTGTCAGCACAGGACCCACGCGAGTTACAGTCGAGCCCTCGGCTTGCTTCAAGTCACCTCCTGATATTTACAAAAGATGTTGTCGGATCTTATGTTTTAGGAGTATAAATGCTGTCAAAACGTATAATTGGCACTTAAGAACAGGCTTGTATGTCAACTTAGATTAGATTTGTTGTGATAGGCGCATTGATACCTTTTGTGAATTGCACTTTTTGAGAAATAATCAGCGATTGACTGTATCAAAAGATTGCATTGCCGAATTACTTACGTGCCATGCATCTCCATTTAAACTGCACACCATATCAACAGCTGTTTCCCTGTGTTCTTCTGTTGCTCAAACACTGCGGTCTACACGGCTGGTGCAACGATACACTATCAGTACACGTTGGAGTAGCAGTTATTAGCTACTTCCGATTAAGTGCTTTGATTCGATGACACCCATCACAAACGCTGAGACTTAATGGAGCCCCAATCATAACACAGAGGTTACGGCTGACGTGAAAATCGAGCAGACCATGTCCTGTGAGAGTGGGCAGAGTGTCTCTGGTTACGAAACCCAATCAATGTCAATATGTTGAGCCAGCACCCATAAGATCTCGAGTTCAAACGCTTGGGTTGTCTCCAGGGCACGTGAAGAGGGTTACTCATTGTGTCGCAGGTTTGACGAGATATACCAGGGCAGTTTACACCGTGCGTTTAAAGTGCCACCGCAGATTTAGATTTGCTCAGACTTTCAAGATATACATTTTCGGGGACATGATCCGATATGCATTTTCACCTCGTTGTGATTAATACGGCGTAATTGTCCCATCGTAACTTTGCAACTGCATTTTCAATTTTTCTTGTATTGTGTTTGTGCTTTGCTTTACTTCCAGTACATTAAACTGCACTTCGCTCGACGTAGGTCTTCTATTCATTGCAACTTTACAATCTATACCACACTTATGCAGAAAATTATTAAACTACTTAAACGCATACATGTAGGACTGCTATGCTGTCAAAAGCTCTATAAATAGTTTTACAGAGTACCAATTTTATGGATGTATAGCCATTCATGTAGAGCTGTATTCAGTGTGCCTTTGTTACTGTATAAATATATTTTCAGGAAGCAAAATATTCACGCAAATGTGAATGAGCAGCAATGATAATCATGACAGAACGATATTCAGCAAAATGTGTGATACGATTTATTGCGGGTACAATATTCCCCCGTTATTCACGGACTTTCTGTCTGCGATTTTGGCTGTCCGCGACTCTACACGAGAGAAAGTGACGAGAGAGAGAATGTGATGTAGATAAAAAGATGAGATAAAAATAGGAGATAAAATAATGAGAGATGAAGTGATTCTATGAAGTGATGTGTTAATATGATAATGTTCACGTATTTAATAGCTTCTTCATGTATTTATTTAAGGGAATTCATTAAAAAAAGATAGGTTTTCGTAGGCCAATATCATTATCTGCGAAATTTGCTATTCACGAGCATCTGCAGAACTTGCCCCTCGCGAATAATGAGGGGAATACTGTATTATAATGTGCAGGATATTGTAGCACCGTCTTACCACGGTAATCGTGATAATTGGACCAGCATAGCGACAGGAATTCTAGAAAGATTTTATGGAGGCCTGGGGCAAAATGCCAAGATGGGGCCCCTCCTCTGCCCTTTCTCAGGCCCCCCCTGTGATGCCCTCTTGGATCAAAGGCCCAACACAAAATGGCCCACCTGACCTCTCGCTGGCTCCGCATGGTACATCAACAACAGAGTTGGGGGTGGATCGGCACATTTGGCTGATCGCAGAGCTGATGCTGTTGACAGGGCTGGGGCAAGCATTACTGAGAAAGTAACTGAAAACTAAATTAGTGATCCAGCATGATGTCTCACTCAGCTGTCAGTCAGAGTTTCAGCGAAGGAATAGAGATTTGTCTTTTTAAATGACACCGGGGCAAATATATAAAAGATTATGTATAAAAAGAGATATCTGCATAGCATGAAGACAGCGAGCTGTCTGAATCATCTTAAATAAAAGACGATGAGTGGCGTTGCGTGCTAGCAATTTTATTAAGCACAGGATAGCGGTGACATTTCACAGCCAACTCTTTCATCATTAGACCTCCTTTGCCAGTACCAAAATGTCATTGGGTTTTTCCCCTTTTTTCTGGCAACAAAATTGAAACCAATCAGTTTCAAGGACAATGCATATATTATCATAGTATGTTTTTTGTTTGCATTTTGACTGCAGGTATTGTGGTTAATGCAGACATGAATCCTAGTAAAAAGGTTCCAGTTTTGTTGCCAGAAAAAAGGGGAAAAACCCTATTATTATAAGCCAACTCTTTGTTACTCGGAGCAGTTTGCAACCTCATGGCAGCTCAATGCGGGCGGTTTATCTCCATGAATGGAATCATAAAACCACCAAATAGAACTCCCACGAGTGGCGGATATACCAATGATGTTTGTATGATTGTGAATTTGCAGTGACTGTGCTTGTCACTGTATGGTGCCGGGGCTTGCGAAGCCACGGCCGGTAATGTGTTGTCATTACGGGCAGCCCGGGTTACGGGATGTAGTACCACCAGCCTAGCGGGGTTTGGATGAGCGCTGGTCAGCGTGGGGGCACCGCGAGCAGTGTGCGGTGCGGGCTCCCGGTGAGGGAGCGAGAGGACGTGTCAGCCAGCCAGCACAGGGCTACCTTGGGGCACGATACGCTGGTTGACCTGCTGTCACGTGACCGGACGATATTGGAGGGGGGCCACCGGGTGGACGTGGGCCGTGGGGCGGTCACGTGGTCCAAAGGAGCTCTCGGGAACCTTCGAGAAGGAGCTCGAGAGGCCTGGAGGGTGGGCGGAGTGAAGGGCGGAGCCAGCCCCAGCCCGGGGGGCATATAAGGAGGGCCCCGTGAGGAGCTCGGGGTTCTTCGTGTGTCGGTGTGAAGAAGATCCACGTCGGGGAGAAGAAGCCTCTAGCCACGTGGTCTGGGACCCAGCTCGTGGTCTGGACCGGGATAGCGAACCGTGTCTATCTCTGCCGTAGCGTGCTTAGATGGGCATTCGAGACCCGAGTGTAGATCGTGTTGTGTTAATGTGGAATAAATAGTGTTGCTCCCAAAATAACGTCTGTGACTCAGTTGGACTCACTACAAATTGATCATGTAATAGATAGGCAAAGGTGCATCCTTACAATTTCTTGTTTACACCATGGCTGGCAGAAGGGCCTCAACAGCAGGGGGCTCTGGAAAGGCCCTGTAGAGGGTAATTTGGCCTACTCTTCCACGCCGGTAAAACATCTTGGAAGAGGTGGGAAAACCGACTTATACCCCACCGCACGCGACCCATACCGATCGACGATCCCAATTATAATGCCGGGTGGACAGAGACGGGGACAACTAAAAACGACTTTCCCATTGCTTAGACTGCCACTCCGAGAGATCGAACCTTCGACCTCTGGATCGCGAGTCCAGCTTGATAAGGGCCACGCCGCGGCGGCATCCCCCATGCAACGGGGAATTAGCGAAAGTCGCGCACTTGTCTCGGTATTGGGCGAGCGAGATCAGTGCTCTCCACGATGGATTCGCTGGCTTGGCAAACACACGTGGCATCGCTCTCTCACCACTTAGCCCCCGTGCCGGAATCGGCTTCTGAATTCTCACCACCGGCCACGCTATTTACGTTAGGAATGACCAAATTGCTCGTAAACTTAGACGCCAAAATTCCACGTGGCACATTTGCACTTGACGTTGAACAAAGGTGTGACGTTCGGGCCGTGACGCCGCCACGCAAGGTGTAGTAGGCCTTCTCGTTTCGAACAACGCCGTTTCCAATCTTTAATGTCCTCTGCGAAGCAGATGGCGTGCGCGGTGACGCGTTTGTTTTTTTGACAGCGAATGCACCACAAGCGAGTGGAGTTCCTCAATTTCCAATTACAGCAGGAGCCACTAGGCACACGGAAACCGTCCCACCGGGTGGCTGCGGGTGGGGAGGTGTCCCAGGAGGAGCACCGCAAGCCGAGCTTTGGCTGTCTCCGAGTGCACCGCGGACAAACGTTCGTCTCGTGCACGCGTGGCCACCACGGAGGCGAGATGTTAACTACTTCGCCTGCTCTACAGGAAGTCGAGGGTTTGATTCCGACCCTGACGCCTGCTGTGTATTTGGAGTTTGCGTTTCTCTCTCTCTCTCTGTCTCTCCATGGGCGTGTGAATTTTTCTCCGGGTCCTCTGGTTTTCCCCTCCACGTTTCGAATCAGCATCGCGCATCCAGAGTATCTGGCTGCTGCTATAAATGTCCACATGAGAAGCCACTTCGTTGAGATGCCACTTGTGGCCAGGTAGCTTCTGAAAAAAATGGCTCTGTAGGTCAGTGGGCCTCACCTGGTAAAATAAAAAAAAAGTTTCTAGTTTAGACTTGATTTGAAGCTTTCGTAAAGTCACGTATAAATAAGAAATAATAAAATAACCGACCGTCTGTGTTGCTTTATATGGTTTCCAAAA